TTTGACTGCATGAAAATAAAGAAAAGAATTTTGTTGCAATAAAAAAAGCACAACAGTTGCTTTGCAAATACCATGCAGTCCAAGATGAACACAAACCTGGCTGTTCTTTCACAGACTCACTAATTTTCATTGAGATTTTTAGAAATAAATGTTTCTCACAATCTTAATTATTTATCACACACTTATGTACTCTCATATTATGAATCCTTGTCATAACTTGATATGCTTGAAGTAGGTGATATTTGTTACATATTGATTTGTAAAATTTTTATGAAAATAGTACTTTTGATTTGTGTGTACAAATATGAAATATACAACTTACCAGTGCATCCAGTAATGATATGATACTCTATAATAAACAAATAAAACCATGAATAAATTAAAAAAGGAAAAAAAAAAACATAAACAATAAATATTCAATTCTCCCATGATGCATTCTAGTAAGGGTATCATACTCTATAATAAAAGAATAAATCAATAAATAAATTAACAAAGAAAAACTGTACACTATGAATATTCCCTTCTCCCATAATGCATTGCAGTGTAATTTTAATTCACTGACCTCGCAGAGTTGTTGCTGTGTATATTTCTCAATTTCTGAAAAAAAAAAATTTTTTTTGTAATAGTTAATAAATCAGCTTGCTCAGTTTATAACATAGCGTAACTATTACAAACTTGCCCAGTGAACATTACAAAAATAGTACCTAGCATATATGATGTCTTTAAATTTCCCATATGATCATGTGACCGCCAATTTGTGTCCATCTTTTTGTTGACAACCATTCACACCTTCATGTCACTGTATGTTGCATAGTGCGCAGATACGAAATACTGTAGAATACTTTATTTTCGCTTGGAATTTATTTTCGCTATTTTCGCTGAAGGGATGATTTCATGAAAATAAAATCCAGCGAATATACTTTTTTTCCTATATTTCACATTAAACTCATGAAAAATCAGTGAAAATAAATTCCAAGCCAAACACCCAAAAAGCCTTTTCAGCGAAAATTAATTCCAGCGAAAATAAAGTATTCCACAGTAATAAAAAATAGTGTTGTTTTAACAATATTAGGTTCTTTTTTTGTGGGAATATTTGTTATGCAGCATGTACAAATAGACCATTCAATTTTAGAACTGACACTGAATAAATGAAAATTGATTGTTTCCATGGCAGCCATACAGTGACATGTGATTTGGCTGTTGAGGCAGCAAACGTTAAATGTTCACTTGAATGTCCTGCCATTAAAACAGTTTGTGATTGTATACAGTACAACAAAAAACAAACAAACACATCCCACAACTATACCTCACTGTCCATGCAATGATAAAAACAAGATTTAGGATAAGATCTTGTTTGATGATCTTCATGTTTTGTGTGTCATTGTTGAATAAAAATGCAGTCTTGAATTCAGAGGGAAGTGGTGCATGACATTTTGTCATTAAAACCATCTTGTTGAAAGAAAAAAAAAATAACTGAAGTATATATGATAATTACTGGGGACACTTTCAGGACCGTCTTTGAAGTGAGCCTGAGTTGGCACGATTCAAGCTTAGTTTGTCAGTGTGCAGAGTCAAAGTGACCAGTGACCCAGTTAAGAAAAGGAGAAATAATGGACACAGAAATGCAATCAAAACACCAAACTGTTCCTATGAATACGTTTAATCACTCAGGTGATTTTTCGTTCAATTGTGAGATCTCGCGAGTTGTGTGAAAGACGTGTGCTGAACGCCTGCCGCAAAAATCGAACGACTTGATTTTAAACTCAAATTTCTTTATTTCGTAGCTAACATCGAAAGGCCAATCTTCGACAGGGGAATATTACTTCATCAAAATTAACCATAATCAAATGTGTACAGCACATTATTAAGCATGGAATTATCCAAAAAATTAGTTTGCGTTTGTCAAATCCCACGCGATGTTTGTCGCCACTATGACGCTATGACCTTTGTTTGTCTAGTTTTTACGTTCGATTTCATGCATAATGCGGGATCTCGCAGTGAGTGAGAAAAATGGTCTACTGCTTAGTGATTACAAATTTTGCTTAGTAAAGGTAAATTCAGTAATGAGAATCTATCAATTGGATCTATCACACATGACATATGATAGATGTAGAGGATTCCCAATGGTTCAAAGAGTCAAAACCACTTATGTAAATGATATGCAAATGAGTACCTGGAGGGCTTGACGAATCACCATATCCTAACATGTCAGGTACAATCACTCTATAACCAGCTAATACTAGTGGCAAAATCTACAGTAATAATAAAAAAATAGAACTAAATGAGTACCAGTACAATGTAAAGGTAGTTATGGCAACCAATAATGAACCACAATACAGATTGAATTATATTGATTTCCACACTTTTTCAGATCTAATCAATTGTACAAGTTATAATATGGTATATTTCTGTGAACTGAATGCTTCTTAGTCACTGAATTATAAATTTGGTTTAAATTTAATATGACTGAGAGAATCGTGGTGTATGTTGTTTTCCAACATTTCAACATATTTTATTCCCCATTTGTAAAGACCAGCTTTTTGTGATGATGCAAATTCACTTCTGACTATAACTCACCTGGTATCGCCAGGCAAACCAACATTCCGGGAAACCATGAACACACAATACCACAGGCCCTTCTCCCATGTCAACATAATGTATACGATGTCCCGCCTACAAAACATACAGTTATAGCTGCGTTAAAGTACCAATGTCATTGCTAGGTGTTGTGGTTGATAAGGATTCCGTACGGCTTATACGACACATACAATTATAATAGTTATTTATGAAACATGCACTGCTTGAAGACTTCATCATGCACTTTGGTTGTAACATACTAAAGCATAGGATGGTTTGTCTTTATTGTTAGTTTGTTATTCCCTCACCCTCTCTCTTATTTTATCACCCCTTATACATTGGTTGTAACATACAAAAGCATAGGATGGTTTGTCTATATTATTAATTTATTATTCCCTCACCCTCTCTCTCATGTTATCACCCCTTATACATTGGTTGTAACATATACCAAAGCATAGGATGGTTTGTTTTTATTATTAATTTGTTATTTCCTCACCCTCTCTCTCATGTTATCACCCCTTATACATAGGTTGTAACATATACCAAAGCAATAGAATGGTTTGTCTTTATTATTAATTTGTTATTCCCTCACCCTCTCTCTCATTTTATCACCCCTTATACATTGGTTGTAACATACAAAAGCATAGGATGGTTTGTCTTTATTATTAATTTGTTATTCTCCCACCCTCTCTCTTATTTTATCTTCCCTTATACATTGGTTGTAACATACCAAGGCATAGGATGGTTTGTTTTTATTATTAATTTGTTATTCCCTCACCCTCTCTCTCATTTTATCACCCCTTATACATTGGTTGTAACATACCAAAGCATAGGATGGTTTGTCTTTATTATTAATTTGTTATTCTCCCACCCTCTC